TGCCTGTGGGTCAAAATATGCGTCAAAAATGTGACCAACTGTTGTCTCCTGTCACATGCCTATCATACTTATCATGCGCACAAAGTGTTATATGTAACAACTGCATGCGTATCATACCTATCATACGTATCCTGAGCATACATACTCTACGTATCTTGGGGCCACCATAGGCTTTCTTGGGGCCACCATTTTCCCGGGGCCATCACGTTCTGCTTCATAGGCGGCTGTCTTGGGACCATCTGTGCTGGGGCCACATAGGCTGTCTTGGGGCCTGTTCGGGCTGAGCTGTTCTGCACGGCTGCGCCTCGCCGAGGGCTTGCCGACGGCCCATGACTTCACGCTGTCGTCAGCATCTTCTGTATCCGTAGCCAGTAGGCCCTCAGAGATACTTCCTATTGCCTTCAGGTTTTGCTACAGTATCCGAGGTTCCGCGTATTCGCGAGCCATGCTTGCCTCCCCTTCTCTGTATGACTGGGGCGCTGCGCAGGCTCTTGTATGGCGCAATGAGGTGGGCGAGGTATTTCCTGGATTGCATCGCCCCTATGGTATCATCGTTGTCGACTCGGGGGCTTTCGTATACGGCGACGAGCACTGGTCGGTGTATATGCAGGATGTGCTCCAAGCGGTGCATGAGAATACTGGCCAGTGCTGCATCCTTGTGGCTCGCGGTGGCGCATCGTTCAACCATTGGGATGTATCCCGCACGTATCAGCATGTATTTCAGTGTATCAAGGAGCGCTGCGAGGCGCCGCTGTTCATGGTATGGGTATCCCTTGGGAATGACCTGTATCCGCCTCGGGCCGACATGCGGAAGTATGAGGCCGGGGTACTCGCCGCGGTATCGTCACTTCTCACACAGGCTTTCGCGTATTGCCCTCAGCATTGCTTCCTGTATGGTGCTTCCAGTGAGGTGTGGCAGTATGCCAAGCACTTTGACTCCGCGGAGTGTCGCGAGTATGATCGCCTCGTCGGCGTTGTATGCGGACACATTCTGGCTTGCCGCAGCACGTATCCGGGGCTCGATGCCCGGACCGGTGCAGAGCTCCTGCATGGAGTCGAGCTTGCCGACCGTATTGGCCACATCTCTTCCGGCAGTATCGGCATGCTGCGCCACTTCTACACAGAAATTGTGCAGTGGGGTGTGATGTCGGGTATGAGCCGCTCGCGTCTGTGAACTGGTTTCCTTGTGTACTCAAAGAAAAAAATCGCATGTCCCTGAGATGGTCCCAAGAGCGCCCCAAGGCTCCCAAGAGCGCCCCCGAGGCGTCGACTTGACTCCGAGAGGTATTCACGGGGTCCCTGGCTCTTCTCATCGTTCTTATCCTCCTCCTCCTCTTCCTCGTCCTCCTCCTCAGCCTTCTCTTAATTCTCCTCCTCCTCTCATCGTCCTCCTCCTCCTCCTCCTCCTCCTCCTCCCCTCATCCTCACCATCACCATCACCACCATCACCAACACCCTCACCATCACCTCCATCATCATCATCACCATCATCATCATCGCCGGAATGATCTATGACGTATGGTGCCGGACTTTTGCCTCTGTGTCATGGCTGTCATACGTATCTTGTGCAATACGTAAATACGAAACAACTGCATGTGGGACAAAATTTGCCCCAAAAATGTGACCAACTTTTCCCTGTCTTCTGTCTCTCATACGTATCATGTGCAATATGTATCATATGTAAGAACTGCATGTGTGATCAAATTTGCCCCAAAAATGTGACCAACTCTTCTCTGTCTTCTTTCTCTCATACGTATCATGTGCAATATGTATCATACGTAAGAACTGCATGTGTGGCAAAATTTGCCCCAAAAATGTGACCAACTTTTGTCTCTGTCTCATGGCTGTCATACGTATCATGCGCGATATGTAATTTTGTGACAACTGCATGTGTGACCAAATTTGCCCGAAAAAAACTTTTCTCTGTCCTCTGTCTCTCATACGTATCATGTGCCATATGAAAGAACTGCTTGCGTGGCAAAATCTGCCCCAAAAATGTGACCAACTCTTGTCTCTGTGTCATGGCTGTCATAAGTATCATGTGCCATGTGTATGATATGTAACAACTGCATGTGTGACCACATTTGCCCCAAACATATGACCAACTTTCCTCTGGCTTCTGTCTCTCATATGTGTCATGTGCAATATGTATCATACGTAAGAACTACAAATGTGGCAAAATCTGCCCCAAAAATGTGACCAACTTTTGCCTCTTTGTCATGGCTGTCATACGTATGTTGTGCAATACGTAAATAGGAAACAACATGTGTGGCAAAATTTGCCCCAAAAATGTGACCAACTTTTGTCTCTGTCTCATGGCTGTCATACGTATCATGTGCACTATGTAATTATGTGACAACTGCATGTGTGACCAATAGCCCAGAAATGTGACCAACTCTGTCTTCTGTCTCTCATACGTATCATGTGCCATATGTAAGAATTGCGTGTGTGGCAAAATCTGCCCCAAAAATGTGACGAACTTTTGTTTCTGTGTCATGGCTGTCATAAGTATCTTGTGCAATACGTAAATATGAAACAACTGCATGTTTGGCCAAAGTTGCCCCACAAAATGTGACCAACTTTCCTCTGGCTTCTTTCTGTCATACGTATCATGTGCAATATGTATCATACGTAAGCTTCATGTGTGGCAAAATTTGCCCCAAAAATGTGACCAACTTTTGTCTCTGCCTTGCTGTCATACGTATCATGTGCAATATGTAATTATGTGACAACTGCATGTGTGACCAAATTTGCCCCAAAAATGTGACCAACTTTTCTTTGCATTCTGTCTCTCATACGTATCATGTGTCATATGCAGGAACTGCGTGTGTGGCAAAATCTGCCCCAACACTGTGACCAACTTTTGTCTCTGTGTCATGGCTGTCATACGTATCTTGTGCAATGCGTAAATATGAAACAACTGCAACTGCCATCATCCACATCAGCATCATCATCATCATCATCATCACCATCATCATCATGACGAGCAGCATCATCATCGTCATGTCTGTGCGTGTGCGTTGCTCATAGGCACTTTGGCTCAAGAGGGGGGTATTCTTGGCCACGTATTGCCTTGGCATGCAGTCCGCAGGGTATCTGTTCGTGCTGTCCTTTGTATTACTGCGTTTCACCAGAGGCCAGGCAGGAGTACCTGTCGTATGTGACTACCTTTTGGATCAGTGGAATGTATTCGTCCAGGACTTCGATTCATTATGTTGCGGTCTTGTCCGGCACTGCGAGGCTGTATGCAAAGAGAGAGGTGGCACGTATTTAGCCCATCGGGAAGGTTTGCACATCGCGTATTCTGGTCTGAATTTTATTCGCACTCTGCGCAGGGCTCGTATACGACGGCGCCTTGTTGCATTTGCGGAGAAGTGGTCGCACGTAGTATCGGGGCTTCTGCGTCCCCGTGTCAAGGGCGTCTCGGTCACGAGCGCTGACATCATGGCCATGGGGGACAGTATCCCGGACTATGTGGCCGTGGCCGTTCAGAAGAACCAGGTGAAGATGGCAGGTAAGTATAACAGCATGGACTGTATGCGGTGTTTTGTTACCATTCTTGAGTTTTCCATGGGCTGCACGCCAACGGAGTATACCGAGGAGCTGCATCAGTGGTTTCTGAAGCGGCAGTGTGGGAAGTGGAGACGCCGTGCTGCGGCGGAGCTCGCGTATTTTGGTGTGCTTTCCTGCGACAGTATGACCACGGCATTGGGGCGTATGAGGAGGGCTCTGAACACCACGTCTCAAGTGAGTGTCGCGACCATGTATGTATTGTTCTGCGAGACGCGGCAGGCTATCAACACGTATTCGCTGCATGGTCTTTGGTACCTCATGGAGGTGTATGACAAGAGCAAGTCTGTGCGGGAAAACGTTTCGCGTATCCGAAATGGGCTAGCATATAGTGTATCGACGCTTTGTCACACAATTCAGGTTTTGGAGGGGATCCGCAGCTGTGTGGGTGTATCACTCGCTGTGCTGCGGAAGTTACCCTGCAAGCGCGCTGGCGGACCTTTGGAGGTGGCGTATCAGTTGGGTCGCCGCCGTCTGTGTCCCAAGGTGGAATTGGACGGTATTCCAGAGTTCCGCGTGCTGGCGAGTTCTCTGAGCGTTGTGACTCAGTAGGTCCAGACGTATGCGAGGCAGCATACACAGCAGTATCGCGGTTTGGTCAAGGCCGCAAAGGGTCTGGGTATCAAGCACGGGAAGTCGCATACTGTGAAGAAGCTCGCTGCGCTTGTGAAGCGAGGTATGCAAAAGCCTTCAGGCACGGGGGCGCGGAAGAGGAGTTACGAGGAGCTGGTATCCGCAGTGCACGCTCGCGGCGCCAGCGAGTATCAAAGAATGAAAATTCAGGGTAGGTGGGTCACCAGACGTGTATCCAAAGTCAAGTTGGAAGCGTTGCTGTCTGAACCTTGAGGGCGGCGTTCATTTGTATAGTTGCATGTTGTCTGACGCAGGGGTCCACCAGAACTGTATGAAACAAGAGCATCCACCAGTAATGACACACACATACACATACACACACACATGTAAACATACTAGTCCGACGCGCATAGCCATGCCTCTACACGCACACGTGCACATACACAGTCACATACACCTCTATACGTATATGTATACATATGTAGATATACTCGTACGTCAACTTTGCCCCAAAAATGTGACCAACTGTTGTGTCTGTCTCAGGTCTCTCACACGTATCATGTGCAATATGTATTATACGTAACCACTGCGTGTGTGGCAAAACTTGCCCCAAACATTTGACCAACTGTGGTCTCTGTCGCATGTGTATCATACGGATGATTTGCCATACGTATCACATGTAACATGCTGTCCGTCGTACGTATCATGTGCAATACGTATCCAAAAACTGCATGTGTGCCAGTAGTGCCATGTGTGCCAGTAGTAGGTATCCGGTTTCAAACTGCAGCCATATATTCCCAAAGTCGGCACGGCTGCACCAGGCTTCCCACTCGGAAGTGTATTCCCCGCGGTTCCGTATGACACTCGACCACTGCCCAGACTTCGCCCTGGCCGGGGCTGCGGCGCCGACGGGCGCCCCGGCCTCCGTGGAGAAGCCGAAGGACCAGAAGAAGCGGGAGTGGCTGAAGGTATACGAGACGTTGCCCGCGCAGTTGCTCAACGTGTATGGGCCTTCGAAGTTCGCGAAGTTGAAGGACGCGCAGGTATGGGACCCAGATGCAGGAGCCGCTGAAGAGCGGGGCCGTATGGATGTCGGAGATGTGCAGCAAGGAGCCGGAGCGGAGGGGTGTCGGTATTAACCGTTTCATTCACGCGATGAAGACCTTCTGCGAGTATCAAAAGGATCCCTCGGTAATGGCGGGGAACAAGGCGGTATTGAAGGAGCAGATGTATAACGATTTGTACAAAGAGATTGATGAGATCCTGCCGGCCTTGCAGTATTGCCTGGCACCCGAGAAGCAGCCTGAGAAGAAGGGTGCTGCTCTCCTCCGTGCGAGCGGTACGGACGACGCAGTGTTGGCGACCGCGAAGACGGGGCCGGAGTTGGACAAGTATGCGAAGCAGGTCTATGACTGGCTCGACAAGACTAAACTGTCGCGAGTCCGTATGATGGCCAATTGGCAAAGTTGCGGGGGGTTGGCCTTTGTGGCTCAATGCCACCATCGGGCTACCACCTGTTTCAGGTATCACGGCAACAGCTTTCACGGAGCTGGTCCATCGCAGCACGAGGTATCACTTCAAGACTTCCAGGCCGCTGTGAAGCTCCGCCACTCGGTCGGCCACAACGGTATGGACGTGGAGGGGGTGAGCGAGGTCTCCGGCGTCAACGACTTCGGGTCATCCTGAGGGCACGGTGTATGAGGCGAATCTTCCAGAGTCGTGCGTGCACGCTGGGGAGGCAGGTGCTGCGTGCATTTAGACCAGAGTATCTCTTTTCTGCACCTCGGGCGTATATATATGAAGTTGGGAGTGGCAAAAAAAAAACACAAAAACGTGAACACCTGGTTCGGGGGTCTATGCTCTCGCGTCCCTGGTGGCACAGTGGGCTGCCGCTCCCGGGTGGCATCGTGGGCTGCCGGCGACGGCGACGGCGACGGCGACGGCGACGGCGACGGCGACGGCGACGCAGACGGCGACGGCGAGGGTGACGGCGACGGCGGCGACGGCGACGGCGACGGCGACGGTGACGGATCCCAGCCTCAGCCTCAGCCTCGGCCTGCCTCGGCAACAGCCTGCCTCAGCGTCGGCGTCAGCCTACCCCAGCCTCAGCCTGCATCAGCCTCAGCCTCGGCCTCAGAGTGCTTCAGCTTCCTCTTCAGCTTCAGCCTCAGCCTCAGCCTCGGCCTCAGCCTGCCTCAGCGCCAAAAGTTGCCCCAATAATGTGACCAACTGGCTGCTGTCTTGGGGCCACCACAGGCTGTCTTGGGGCCACCATGGGCTGTCTTGGGGCCGTCATAGGCTTTCTTGGGGTCACCATCGGCTGTCTTGGGGCCATCAAAGGCTGTCTTGGGGTCACCATGGGCTTTCTTGGGGCCACCATTTTCCTGGGGGGGGGGGGGCCTCCCAGGGCCCAATGGTTTTTATGTATTCTCTTTAGGCCTTTGGCCCGAGCCGCCAGACCTATCTGGGGATCTTGGGGGGGCCTCCCAGGGCCCTGTTGTTATGTATTCTCTTTAGGCCTTCGGCCCGAGCCGCAAGACCTGTCTGGGGATCTTGGGGGGGGCCTCCCAGGGCTCAATGGTTTTACGTATTCTCTTAATGCCTTCGGCCCGAGCCGTCTTCCCTGGGCACTTCGGCCCGGGCCGCCGTTACATGGGGATCTAGGGGGGGAATCCATGAGGCCCGGGGCAAAAAAAAAAAACATGATGTCGGTATGCCTGCCTTGGTCGCATGTGCGGCGGCGGACGTCGCACGAATGGCACTTTGGCACATGTATGTGGTTCGTTTCTGTTCGTATGGGCTTGGCCACTTTGCCACATCAACATTCGCATGTATGCCGCAGCCATTTGTGCTCAAGGTGCATTTGCGTATCTTCGCATTTACGTATTTGCGTATCTTCGTATTCACGCATCTTCCATCTTACGTATCTCCTTTGTCATGGACGGGGACTGGGACGCCGCCGGAGAGTATACTCCATCGCAACGGCAGGTCGCCCAGCGTATGTGGGACTGGAACGTCCCACGCGGCGGCGAGAATGCTGTATTCGCATGGCTGAAGATGCTTGCCGAGAGCAGATGGTTCGCTACGGGTATCTACTTCCCCGCGGTGTGGAATGGAGTCATGGGTGTATGCCTCTGCGTATCAACGGCTGCGTCCACGCGAGTATCGAAGGCCAACTCGGAGGTGGACGAGAACATGAAGCGTAGGGGCGGTATCGAGACGCCTGAGTGGTTGGCGTTCGACGTCTTCTTCTACGCGAACCTCGTATTCGGGAACCTCCACGGCTTTCGAGATCCAGAAGGGCGGTTACTGGGCACGCTCGCGTATGTGCTCGAGCAGCTCAGCGCCACCGCCGGCATACGTGACTGGCCACGCGACGTATTCGTCCGGCACGGCGAGTGGATGTATGCCGGCCTTCGCAGGATCTTGGATCGACTTCGTATTCGCGTTCACGCCGAGGTCGTATCCGGGCTTTCGTATAGGGCCTTGATGAGCTTGGACGTATTCATCGCCATTCACGCGCCATCCATGGGGTATGAGCCGCAGGGTATGGCACTGTGGGTTGCCGCGGGCGAGCCCGGGGTATACCCGACACAGGACCAATGGTGGCACCAGGACGTATACCGACCGTGGGGCCAGTCGCCGCATGGGAATCTAATGGACTACCGACTGGACCTCGGTATCACGGTGCAGGTCCCGGGCGTCTTGGCGGTATTTCCTCTCGCAGCCACGGGCCCGGCATCCGCGAGCAGGCGTATGAGCATCGTGCTCGGACACATCCCTGATGTCGCCATTGCGACGCGTATGGCCTCCGTGCTGCCACCTGTCCAGCCTCAGGTATCGCCGCGGATTGGCGCCATCACGGACGGGACCCAGGAGGAGGAGCCTTCGCGTCTGTAGGCTGTATGCCGTTGGCCGCTCATGACAGTATGAGTGCCGTTCCGTATGCCGCATGCCCTTGGCCGCTCATGACAGTATGAGTGCGCTCTGGCAGTATGCTCCCTGTTCCCCCGCCGGCACTGTTCGCCGAGGCTGGGCGATAGAAAAAGAAAGTATGGCAGCATCGCGACAACCATCGGGACAACCATCGGGACAACCATCCGAACAACCATCGGGACAACCAGCGGGACAATCATGTGGACAACGATCGGGACAACCATAACCATCAGGACAACTATCGGGACAACCATGGGGACGACGATCGGGACAACCACGATCATCAGGACAACCATCGGGACAACCATCGAGACAACCATCGGGAAAACCATATCGTCTCTCTCTCTTGTGTATTCCCACATCCCTCAGGAATTTGCCCTAAAGATGTGATCAACCATCTTGTGCGTACGTACCATGATCATGTGTACCATGTACCCTACGGGTCATATGCAACTGATGCCTTTGCGTATTCCCACTTCGGCACAGGAATTTGATTAAAAAATGTGACGAACTCCTCTCTCTCTGTCTCTCTCTCTTTGTCTCTCTCTCTCCCGCTCTCTTCCTCTGTCTCGCCTTCTCTCTCTCAGTGTCTGTACCATGTCTAGCACTGGTAACAAAGGTATTTGTGTATCCCCACATCCGCCCAGGAATTCCACAAATGTGACCAACTATCTTGCGAGTACGTATCATCTCATGTGTGTCGTGCACACTATCAAATGTAACAGAGTTGTGTATTCCCATCATCCCAGGAACTTGACCCAAAAATGTGACCAACTCCGCTCTCTCTGTCTCTCTCTCTGTCTGCTCTCTGTCTCTCTCTCTGTCTCTCTGTATTATGTATTGTATGGCACAATTGCACCATGCTGGGCACATGCGCGCCCCGAATAAGTGACCAAGTTCTGTGGGTGTGTACCCCACGCCAGTGTAGTAGCCACGGTCGTCCGCACGCCACGAAGTGAAGTGTCCCAACGTCATAGGGCGGGAAGCTGGGTTTGGGTGGTCGCGAAGAGTCGTTTGGATATTTGGTAGAGCTTGTAATGCCCCCCCACGAAGTGGGGGTATTGCCTGGTGTCGTATGAAAACCCTGGCACTGGGGAGAACACCACGCGTTCGGGTAAAATGATTGTTGTTGTTGTTGTTGTTGTTGTTGTTGTTGTTGTTGTTGTTTTTGGGGGGGGCAGCCCGGGGCCTGACGCGCGTCCCTATTCAACAACAACAGCAACAACAACAACACTCATTATGAAACTGTTCGCTCTTACTTGCCCGTGTGTCATCCAAAACGAGTTCCACACACCCTCGATACCCGCCCTTTTTGTTTTCGATCACACCCACTTTGGGGGGATTCTTTCGCTTTGCGGGGGGCGGCGGGCTTAGACATGCGGGCAAACCTGAACGGGCGGACAGTCCTTCGTGGGCGCACGTGTGCCCGCCAGGCCCTGTGAAAAGAGGAGGGGGAAACCGAGGGATAGTGGGAGGAAGGGAGGAGGGAGGGGGAGGGACGAAGGAAGAGGGAAAACGCCAGGAGAGAAGGAGCGAAGAGGGGGGCGGTTGATTAGAGGCAGAAGGAGAGAGAAAGAGAGAGAGAGAGGAAACAAAAGAAATATATACGATAGGTAGAGAGAGAGAGAGAGAGAGAGAGAGAGAGAGAGAAAGAGAGAGAAAGAGAGAGAGAGAGAGAGATAGAGAGAAACAAACAAAACAAAACAACCAACAAATAGACAGAGACAGAGAGGGGAGAGGGAGAAAGATAGAGAGAGGGAGGAGGCAGGAGAGGGGAGGGAGAAGGGAGGAGGGAAAGGAGGGAGGGGGGTAGGGCAAAGAGGCACAATGACGAGGGAAGAGAGGAGGGAGAGAGAAGGGAGGAGAGGAGGGAGGAGGGAGAAAGAAAGAGGGAGGGAGGCAGGAGAGGGGAGGGAGAAGGGAGGAGGGAATGGAGGGAGAGGGGATATGGCAGAGAGGCACAAGGATGATGGAAGAGAGGAGGGAGAGAGAAGTGAGGAGAGGAGGGAGGAGGGAGAGGGAGGAGGAGCAGGAAGGTAAGAGCGTGAACGCTCGAGGAAGTCCTCGGCGAAAACGCTGTTCCTGAAGGAAGTCTCGGGCGGGAGCCCACAACGGGCGGGCGATCCCCTGACGGGCGGGTCGGGCAGGCGGGACATTCAAGCGGGATGCTTGAATATGGCGAGAGCGCGATTACTAAGTAACTTGTAGCGGCGGCGTCATTGGTGCAGCGTGTTTCCTGAGCGTCGAAAGCGCGATTTCTGAATGAATTGCATGGAAGTCACAGGCGAGAGCGCAATTCCTTAATAACATGTGAGGGGTTCTCTGGCGGGAGCGGGGGTCTTGATTGAATTGCGAGGAAATCTTGACTCAATTGCGAGGGGGTCTCAAGTGGGAGCGCCGTTCCTGAGTAAATTGTGAGGAAGTCTCAGATGGGAGCGGGCGTCCTGACTACACTGCGAGGGAGTCGCAAGCGGGAGCACCGATCCTGAGTAAGTTGTGAGAAGTCTCAGGGGCGGGGGTTTTGAATAAATTTGGAAGAAATCTCGGGCGGGAGCCGTTGTTGTTGTAATCGGGGCGGCCAGGGGCCCAGTTTGAGCAGGAAGGCTTCCCCTGTCAAAAAAACTGGGTGCGAGCGTCGAGGGGCACACCTTGATTGAGAAAAAACAATATGCACCAGTGAGGGGGATCGACAATAATTATTCTTCAAAACTGAAGGTTCAACAACAACAACAGCAACAACAACAAAAACA